CGAAAAGGAAGGGAAAACAATTGAAGTTGACTTTTCATTCAACGCTATGCGGAAAGAAAACATGTGGTTACAACTAAATCAAACGTTAACACTCTAGTGCAACATGTGCGCAAGTCGCTTGTTGTTATTTTACATATCTGTTTTGTCAATTGGCTTAAGTGTGTCAATTTGGTGGGCTACAACAAAAGTCTTTGTTATCTTTGAGAAATTCGGCACTATTGCATGTTATGGAAATTTGGGTGCGGAAAATCTAACAGCTCTGAAACTTAGCGAATTTGAGATGCATTGAAATATTATGCTACAATCGGCGCATAAACTCAAGCTAATATTGAATATCGAGCAGGGTCGGGCACACTCAGCTAGTGACTTATAAAAGAACCAGATCACTGCAGAAATGTTCGGAATTAGGGGGAGGAGGGGCATAGTGAACAGATGGGGCATAGTGAGCATCCCGCAGTTTGGCTCTGGATCTCCAGCTGCATGAAACAAATCAACTGGTAGTAGATTCAATATCATTACGATATTGATCCTACGACGAACCAATTTGTTCCGAACGGCTGAAAGTCCAAGCTGATGCACGGGATGCTCACTATGCCCCTCTTACCCTTACTACAAGAAATATTGAATCACTTCAGAAAAGTTCTAAATTACATCAGAAAGTGCTGAAGTACTTTTGAAAAATTCGGAGTCCCTCCCGAGCAGGAACAAATATCTCGATACCTTAAATTGGTTGAATGAGCCTGACGTTAGAGGTAAAATACCACAACATAATACCAAACAAAAAAATGTTCCCTCAATACCATTCCAATTCCAAATTTTGCAATCGCAATACCAAAACAATACCACACAGGTATTCTTTTAGTATCCAAATATCAATTTTTGTTATTAACAAAGTATGTTGCATGCAATTTTTTGGTATTATTATTTGATATTTTACCTCTCTTATGTCATGATGATCAACATCAAATTTTGGTATCAGGTCAGAATTAGGTATTCATTAGTTATTTTCTCCTGCTTGGGTTCGGAATGCACTAAATCATTTCAAAAATGATAGTATTCCTTTCGGAAAGTACTGAATCACATCAGAAATATTCGGAAACACGTCATCACTTAAAAAAAGAACCTAAATGACTTTTAAAAAGGACTAAATCACTTCAGCAATGTTCGGAATCACTTCGAGAAATATTGAATCACTTCAGAAAAGTTCTAAATTACTTTAAAAAAATGCTGAATTTCTTAAGAACAATTTGAAATCCCTTCGAAAGTGATTTCAAACTGTTCAAACGTGATTCAGTTCTTTCCGAAGAGATTCAGTACTTGCGGAAGTGATTACAAACTATCTGGAATTCAGTACTTTCCGGAATGATTCCAAACTTTCCTGAATTGATTCAGTAATTTCCGAAGTAATTCCGATAATTTCTGAACTGATTCAGTGCAATTCTAAGTGATTAAATTATTTTCGAAGTGATTCCGTTCTTGCGGAAATGATTAAAAACTTTCTGGAATTATTCAGTACTTTCCAAAGTGAATTCGAAATTTCCTGAAGTGATATAAAGAGATTCATTTCTTTCCAAAGTGATTCAGTGCTTGCGGTGGTCATTTAAAACTTTCCTAGAGTGATTCAAAATTTGTCTGAAATGATTCAGTACTTTATGGTGTGATTCCGAATTTTTGAAGTGATTCAGTACTTTCTGAAATGATTCAGTGCTTTGTAAAATGTTTCATTATTTTCCGATGTAATTCCGAAAATTTCTGAACTGATTCAGTGCATTCCTAATTGGTTCAATTATTTTCGATGCGTTCCGTTCTTGCGGAAATGATTACAAACTTTTTGGGAGGATTCACTACTTTCCGAAGTAAATCCGAAATTTTCTGAAGTGATTCAATACTCTCCAAAGAGATTCAGGAAGTCATTTAAAACTTTCTCAGTGTGATTCAAAATTTGTCTGAAATGATGTGATTTAGAATTTTTGATGTGATTCAGTACTTTCTTAAATAATTCAATACTTTATAAAATGTTTCATTACTTTCCGAAATGATTGCGCATTTTTCTGAAATTTGAATTATTAATTTTTTGAAATGATTCAGTGCATCCTTAAGTGATTCAATTCTTTTAGAAGTAATTCAGTTCTTCCGAAGTGATTGTTAACTTTTCTGACGTAATCCAGTAATCTCGGAAGTGATTCATTACTTTCTGAAATGATTCAGTTCTTTCTGAAGTGATTGTAAACTTTTCTGAATTGATTCACTACGTTCAGTAGTGATTCCGAAGATTTCTTAAGTGATAAAGATTGGTCCACTTAGAATCCGGACACATAAAACCAAATGTTTCTCGGGATGGATTTGACGTAAGAAAAATGTAGTTTAGTCAAAATGAAGGTAATTTATTGTATTTTCATAAAACAAAATGCAAAATTACTTTGACAGCGTTCGGATGAGCTCACAGAATTCCCACCAAAATCTGACAAAACACTGGACTGGTTAACCTCAGTGGCCATTTTTTGTCGTACATCGAGGCATCTGTGCAGCGTCCTGAGTCCAATACTTTTCGATTCGGCGGAATTACGCGCAGTTGGGTGGATTGATATCATTGCCGAAGAAATCCACCTTATTGACGTGGTACCACTGTTGCACCTCCCGGCTGTAGTGCCAGCTTGCCAAATCTAGCCAGAACTTCACTGGACCTTAATGAAAGTTAGTATAAATTCTTCAGCTTCGAGTACATCGTTTTGTTGATGATGAGAAGCTTGGTTTTGAGTCCGCAGCTGCAAATTCCTTGCCAGATCATCAGTTTCCAGGCAAATTTAACGGCGAAAAAACTTGAATTTGCTAGGGACATCACCCCGTGCTGTGGGCAGATATAAATTTTGCCGGGAAACAACCTGAAATCCGTCGTCCATTAGAAGGCATCCTCTGTACTTCGTCAGAATACAGTCGTATAAGTTCCGGGCGCGTGTTATGGCCACTAGATTCTGCCTCATCGTCCTGTTCAGTTGCTTGGAAGCACGGAATAAAAGGTAACCTCCGGACGGTACTACCAACAATCAATACGAAACTAACAATTTTAAATTGGCTCACTACTTGACTAGCCCCTTGGTCCCAAGCAAACGATTAACGTACCCCATTCTAGTCGAAATTCTAGTACTACGCAATGTTTGTTTTGATTCGCTATGAAAGTTTGACAGATAAAATATTGGTTTTTCTTATGTTTCGAGGGGTGAATCGATTAGCTTGGGACCGAAGAGAGTACCAGAGCTGAGCCAAAAAGTTGAGCACGTTATTTCGGGACCTTCTAGTCTTAGAGTTACCTCTATGGTACTACGGCTGGCACCGTATATTTTGGTGACATCTCGATCCAAGAGTCCTGGGTTTCTCTTAATCGACCTGAACACCTTCCAGTGCAGCTGTTGATTTAAAGATCCAGCACGCCGTTTGCTTTGAACATTCACGGTCACGGAACTGACCACTAGAGGCGCTGCCATAGAATAAATCAAGTGTACGGATTCTAAGTGGACCAGACTTTACAAGTGAGTCCAAACATTTCTGAAGTGATTCAGTACTTTCAGTAGTGATTTTGAACTTTTCATAAGTTATTCAGTGCTTTCTGAAACGATTCAGAGTACTCAAAAGAATCTATTTTTTGGACCACCTTAACATGGAAATGGTCACCGTTATGACAAAAAATACGGGTCTAATATTGTGCAATAAGGAACAAAACTAACAATTTTTACGAAATTCTGAGAACCACTATATCGTTTTGCTATGGAATGGCTGTAATTCAAAATAATTATGTGTTATCTATAACAAGTCAGTGTACACTCGGCTTTCGACAAAAGCAGGCCACTCTAGATGGGTGCCACGCGATCGTCTGTTTTCTCGGCAGCAACCATTGTTTGGTCCTCCTCATTGTTCTTCATCAGCAGTTCTTTCGGTCGATGCGTCGTCGACTTTGGAACGCAACCGTTTCGTGATGAGTGTGTGAGTGCTGACCACGTTTTGCGTCCATTGCTGCAATGGAAGCGCTCTGCCCCCGTTGGCGATACTGCCATACAATGAAACCACTGAAGGCGGCTTCAGTTCTGATGGAGGAGGATTTTTGGATAGCGAAAGATAAAGTGTTTATTGTGTTGTACCTTTTGACTATAGTTCTAAGATGTATTGTATAGTGAACAAGAATCCTCGGCTCTGTAAAGTAAATTCGTTTGAGCCTTATCAAATAAATTAATAAACAACAATCTCTAACAAGTCGCAAATACAGTTATACAATATTATAGTTTGAATTGATGTTAAAATGTGACAGCCATCATAGTAAAGGCTCCTTCACACTGGTGCAATTTATTAACGTCGGCTGTGGTAGCGTGTTTGCCGCCGCAGCATAATTCGCGCAAGTTCCCACACCTGAGCGGCTGTTTCGCCGCTGTTCAAATACGAATGAAAATTGATTTAAATTTGGAACAATACAGCGTTTAAGAAAATACGGGATAGAGCGCTACTTCGTCGTAATTGTTCATTTCCGATCTATCGAGGAAGAGAGGTAAAGCGTGGGTTGTGCTTAGCTAGGGCGGAAATCAGATCAAAAACCCTAGTACTGTAAATTTGAACGAAACATTACGATCCTTAAAATTATCCCGCTTTTGGTACGGTTCCGAGACGCGAAGACAATTGTGTGATAAAAGCATGTTCCCGTTGTTCACGTTACTCTCGTATGGTAGCCCTATATTTGTTTTTCGATACGAAAGCCCCCAAACCAAACGGAGCAACATTGTTGTGCCGTGCCTGTACCTACAACAACAGCCTATTACATACCTACTACCAACGAAGGAGGTGCACTCGTTCACATCGTCGTGCTGCAGCCAGCAACGTGTATAGAGCAAGCGAGCGAGCGCGTTCCTCTCACGATACCCCACCGTCGTCGATCGTGCCACCCCAAACCAACCGTCAACCTCCCCTGCCTACCCTGGCCCGGTCAGCCTACATTGCTCAGTCAATGCAGGGTTCACTCGCTTCGCGGTGTGCAGTTTTTCTTTAAATATCACTCCGCTGATTACCGCGTTTGCCTCGGGTCGGTTCGAAATCGTCGCAGTACCGTAGCGTTGAGTGTGAATGCGTTTTTGACTCGCCTTGGCCGTTTCGTCCGTCGTCGAAGTGCATCGGAACTTTGGCATTCGCGAAGGACCACCGCCGCACCGTATGGCCAATGTCCACCAGGTTGTGTTCTTTTGACTATTTCTTTATTTTGGTTGACTGCCGGGAAGATTAATCGGATTTTTGAGTTTCGAGCGAGCTTGCTGCTTATCAGTTTTGAAAAAAAGCGAAGTCGCACTTATCAACTGCGTCGTCGACGACGACGTCCCTGGGTGCTAGTCTGTGCAACGGTTTTGACCTATAGAAGATGATTTATTTCGGGATTCGACGGCTGCTTGATTCGTGTTACAACACTGCAAGTAAACATGATTGCAATCGGTTGCATTTGTGCCCGTACGCACTGAGGTGGTGATAGTTTATGTAAGTGATAAATAGGGAGAAATTGCTGCATCCCACTTGGTTGTGCGAATGTTCCGCAAATGGAGTGATGTTGAGAAAACTTGTTGCATTCCCAAAGCAGAAAACAACAACAACAACAACAGCAGCAGCAATGTGCCGGAGTGTGTGTGTTTGAATTCGCTGGCAGATGGAAGCACAAAGTGTTTGAATTTGATCTAATAAAAGTGACAATGTACTGAGCGTGTTGTTTTGCATCGAATGTAAGGCGCAATGTTACTGGCTGCAATGCAATCGTGTGTGCACTCGGACCGAAAGTAGGTTTTAATACTGACCTTCTGTGTACTTGCATCGAGCGTCTCCGCCGCCGCCGCCGCCGCCGCCACCACCACCACAGCACCACCGCCGTCGAGTTCGTCGAGTTGATTGACAGCACATGAAAGCACGCTGCACGTTCGCGTTTGTTTGGTGCTCTTTTTTTTTTAACTTCAAAGTGTCAAGTTTTGATTGTGTGATCAATAAGGGCCTGCAGAAGGGTTTTAAACGAAGGAAGTGCATCCAAACAACAAAGTAGTTGAAAGCCGGATGATGGTCAGGAGGAACCTACCTTCGAAGCAAGTACGAAAAAGGCAAAAGCGAGAAATGTGTTCCTAGTGGGTAGTGCAGGCAGTGCATAATAACAGCGCAACGTAAGGTATCGGAAAGCCAATTTTCAAGTATCAAACGAGTAAACGACGGGCGAGCGAACGAGCGAGTGAATACGTCCAGAGAGTCGGGGGGTTGACGGTAGCAGAGGACACATCAGCCAGGGGGGGTGGCAGGCAGTATGCAATGCAACTTTGTACGGAGAGAAACGCGCTCGAGTTGAATCGAGCACTGAAAGGCTTTTTTTATCGATTTTATTTTTGCTAAGGTTATGGGATTTAAAAGTGAGAAATAGTGATAAACGTACTACAAGCCTTGCTGCTACTGTCGTTCAATGTTTTAATCAGCAGATTTCATCGTTCTTACCTTTTTGTAGCACAACGGGTAACCTCATAGGATATTAAATGTGAGTATGGATTTATCATAAATTTTGCCATTTTTTTTTTCAGTTAAAGCCTCCTTAATAAAGCTAAATAATAATGATAATTTTTTTCAGGATTGCTCACGATTCTGTGTCGATAAATATGTTACAAATAGATTCAAAATACAAACACAACATAATGCGAAACATTCAGTGGGAAAACCTTTATTACACGTATAAAGAGGGAGAGAGAGAAGGATTAGTAATTTCCATTTAATTCCACTACCTTATTTGCTTATCCTTGACAGATACGGGTATTTCGTCTACAACGCAGTCGAGTATTAGTACAAGAAACTGAAGAAGTCTGCACATTGCAGACGAAATACGTTGCCGTTGGATTTGATATTAAATAAGGGTTTTATGTGATGTGAGATGGATTGTACTCATGTGCAGAGAAAAATTTCACCTAGAAAAGAAGGTGATACTTAAACATAAGTTTTGCTAATATTAATATGTAAGTTCCTATAGAAAATGATCTAATAAGAGATGTAACTTTGGTGCATTAAATTTGAGGCTTGTTATTGAAAAGATTAAAAATCCAACATATAAACATATTATTAAAGGCCCTCCTATCAAAAGTTTATCATTTGTAATTTCTGGTATTTATTATTAACTATTCTTGTTTATGCTTATAATACCTTCTTAAAACACATAACAAACTAGTATAGTATTTTAAAGATTAGTTTTGGGTAAGGTTCGATAAAGTTTAGAATCGATTTACACTCATTTCTATTAACAAGCTTATTATATAACTAATTGACATTGACATTGACAGGATCGTTGTTTGGCAGACGAGCATTAATATTGACATTGACATGAATAGAAGTAAATTCGGTAATCTTCCCAGCAGCCCTAACGAATGGAATCAACGTTTGAATTTTGTCCACAAAATATTAAACGTCTGCTCGAATCATCAAAGGCCGCTCAGCCGATTAACGCAACATCAATACACAAGACGAAGTCCAATCTATAACTCAGTTCATTATTACAAAGCGACAATACTGGTGTATTTATATTCGCGCGTCGTCAAATACAACCGGTTTTTCGGGTGTAAAATACCGTATTTAATCAGTTACTTCTACTGAAATCGGACGCTTGTGTAGTGGCTACACGTGATATGTGTTAATCACTTCATTGGTATCATATTACCGCAGTTGGAACGATATCTAACTTTGATAAAAGACTCACGTCGGCTGTCAGCACAAGCTTTGTGTTGAACTAGCAAAAAACCCGTCCGTTTACTCGGCTTCGGCTATGGCCGGAGCCAGTCAGCCCCCCCCCCGGAGAGGGGGGTGGCACTGGTGATCCCCTAGATTTTTCCCCAGGAGCTCCGCTACCAAACTGGTTACTGAGCTCAGATGAAATAGGATATGAAATTGTGCTCGTTATGCAAGTTCGACAAGAAAACGGATCGCAGGAACAGAATCACAACTGACCAATGACGCCCCTTCCGAGCCCATTCGTCATCGGAGCATCGGTTGAACAAGTCATTGGACTACAGGAAGCAAAAAAAGTTAGCGCATCGAAAGAGAATCGAGGCACCAGGTATTTACTGCGCACGAATTAATCAACGGGACTCCAGTTGAAGTGTTTACTCATCCTAGTTTAAACTCAATCCAAGGCATAGTCTACGAACCTGATTCTATCCACGATGATGAGAAAGACATCATGAACTACCTTAAGTCCCAAGGAGTTATCAACGTTCGTCGTATCCGCAAACGGGTTAACGGTAAACTCCAAAATACACCACTGCTGGTGCTGACGCTGAAAGGTGCTGTTCTTCCGAAAGTTGTCCGTTTTGGTCGTACATATTACCCATCACCACTTATTTGTTACAACTGCGGCATCTATGGTCATCCTAAAAAGGTCTGTAAACAGCTTTCGATTTGCTTACGTTGCTCTCAGCAAATTCATGTAGTCGAAGGGGAACAGTGCCAAAACCCTGCGTTTTGTCTGCACTGCAAGGCTAATCATCCAATCACCTCTCGCGACTGTCCCATGTATCAGCAGGAAGTTAAGATTTTGAAACACAAAACAGATAACAGAGTATCATTCGGTGAAGCTCGTCGTGTGTTCCGAGAATCCTCGAAGGACTCGTACGCCAGCGTCCTTCAACAACGTCTAGCTCAAGTCGAATTAGAAAAGGACACCATTATCCACAAACTGAAAATGGAACTCGACACGCTAAAAGCTGAACTAGAGCTTCTGAAAGAAGCTGCGCAAAAGAACGACCCACAGGTAAACGATAAACAAGAAATGACTGCACAAAAAGGCACAACACAATGTTGTAACGGCAAAAAAAATCATCATATCACACCTGATGGCTCCCATCACGCAAACCAGGCCAATTCGGCATCAGGATACAAAAATAGTAACGAAAAAGAACCAACATGTACCACTACAAATAGCAGCCAAAATAACAACAGGAAATCTCGAAAAGACAAACTATCTATATCGCCACCCAAGGAATATAGAAACACCAGAAGCTCTAGCTCCCTACGAGCAATGGAGCCACGAAATAGGAGCCGTAGTGACAAACGCATGAACACATCACTCGCTAACGAAGGGAATCCGAAGGGTAAACGACGCCATCTGCTCCCTGACGATAGTGGTAAATAACCCACCTGAACAAGCTTATAGACTCCTATCTCTCATCAAAGATTACTATGGCCACAAATGATTTTAACCCTGCTATGGACACGGACTACGACATGGAAAATCTACGAAAATCTCCAATAGTAATGCATACCAACCACTGCACCGACACGGACAACGAAATTGGTATTCTCGTAAACAACACATTACCCATAAACGATATCTCTTCGATGTCAACCAATAAGCAGCTTGGGGGAGGGGAATGTGTAGTACCCCCCTCACTTGCTAGGATGGAAGCGAGTCTAGATAGGGAGGCAGTCCGGGACGTCTTTCTCCTACCCGTGGATTGCCAAACTACTAGCTCGGCTGCTCTCAACGAAACCGGAGAAACAACGCCCCAGCTTCAGCCAACAACCAATGGAACTAAACTACACATTGAAGCAACAAGAAGGCATAGTGCACCACGGCCGCTTCCTGCAGCTGCCTTCAACGATTCCGAATCATACGATCGTTATTATAAAATGCGGATTCAACCTTCTAGCAGCAGACAAATCGATAAAGCATCAAATGTATTTCCTGTTCTTTCGCCAAGTGCGAGGTCTCCCACGTCGACCCTGACCAGGGATGTTCCGGCTCGATCCGAAGAGCCTCTGGCGGCAGTTGACGTGGGCTACTCATCCCCCCACACACCTCTAGTACCTTACGATCAGTCATACCCCATCGTTCTCTCCAACAATCTAGGAATCTACGGCAAAACCGACGCACCAACTCACCACGAACGATCAAATACACAAAACGACGACAGTAGCAGCAGCTCCCCCACCGACGAGCGCAGCATGAAGATGCTGTTCTTTCAATGGAATATCCGCGGTTTGTGGTGTAATCATTCAGAACTACGACATCTTGTACTCCAGAACCCTCTTATTGCTATTGGTTTGCAAGAGATGATGTGCAAAAATGCAAACAGAGCCCTCCAAAAGCAATATACTTGGAATCTTGCTAATAGACATTATAATCAAGGCGCTGGTGCAGCAGGGCTCGGAATCCTAAACGGAGTTCCCCATCACGTTATTAACACAAGCTCTCAAATTCCTGTGTGCGCTGCCCGTCTGCATAGTCCTTTCAACATTACTATAGTGTCTATCTACATTCCACCGAACAGCGCTGACGCAGACATCATTAACACTCTCGATGACATTACAACCAACATGGAACCACCCTATATCATTGGCGGTGATTTCAACGCTGCTCACGAGGCCTGGGGCAGCCCCAAGTCAACACGCAGAGGTCTAAGACTACTAAGCTGGTTCGTCGATAATCAACTAGTGGTCATCAACAACGGAGAACCCACATTTATAAGCTCTTCCCATGGCAATGCATCTTGGATAGATCTAACGGTGGTTTCAAGAAATCTCGCGAGCAAATTGAATTGGTCGATCGCAAATGATACACATGGCAGCGACCACTTTCCTATCAAAGTATACTCCCAAGACCGAGCCTCCGAAACAGGACACCGCAGGCGCTGGCTATACAAGAACGCCGATTGGGCCCGATTCGAGAATACCATTATTGATTCCTTGAAATCAGACACAGACCTCTCAATTGACCAGATAAGTGATGTTATCATTGAAGGCGCTGAAGCTTCTATACCAAAAACATCTAGCCGACCCTCCAGGAAAGCAGAAATCTGGTGGACTGACGAAGTAAAAGTTGCAGTCAAGGCACGTCGGAAAGCACTACGTAACCTGAAGCGAACCTCAGCAACAGATCCCAATATGGAAGAAACCCGGAAAAAATTTCAACAAGCTCGCATTGCTGCCAGGAAAGTGGTTGCAGAAGCTAAACTTAAATCATGGAATGCTTTCTGCCAAAGTTTCAACCCACATACGTCAGCCGACATCCTTTGGAACAACTTCAATAAACTATGTGGCAAAAGGAAAACAGGACAAAGAGGCTTGGTGATAGACAATAAACACGAACAGGATCCTGCAGTCATCGCTAAACAATTCGCAAATTACTTCCAGGAAGCATCAACAACAACAACTCCTGATTTGGATGGTACACCAAACGACGAGGACACGGACTCAGGTTTAGAGACCGAGGAAGATGTCGCTATGAACGCAGACTTCACAATTCAAGAACTTCTACGAGCCATCGACTCGGCTAAAGGGTACTCTACTGGCAGCGACAACGTTGGATATCCAATGATTCGCCATCTCCCTATCACTGGCAAATTGACGATGTTACGATGTTTCAACCGTATCTGGGCCGAGGGTAAGTTCCCACAACGCTGGAGAGAAGGTGTAGTAATACCCATACCAAAACCTGGCACTTCACAAAGCTCTGTCGAAAACTACCGTCCCATCACGCTCCTGAGCTGTATTGGTAAG